CCCCCCAGTTACTCAGCTCTAAGCCCTCCAGGCTGCCTTGCAACATGGAAACACTTGCAGAACGTAACTGCCAGGTAACTCACCCTGGAACATTAAACCCAGCTTGGTGAACATCAGCACTTGGACAATCAGCTGCACATCTGCTTGCTCTAATGCAGAGAGGCACGTGGTACAAACAGGCCCAGCACAGGCTGCCCTCCCTTGCTTCTCGTGGGTCACCTTTCCGTGCAACCCCTGGGGAGCATCTCCTCCCCAATGAACCAGCTGGGGCGGTCCAGGAGAGCAAGGGCGCTTCTCCGCTATCGCAGCATCCCTTCAGAAACAGCAGGCACAAGCAAAGAACCGCAGACGGAGGGGCGGAGGGAGGAGGGCAGGAAGCAGCAGCAGCAGAAGAGTCTCTTTGTTAGAAGATTTGATGGTAGGCACCGGGGTTTCCCCCAGAGCTGCAGACCTACCTTTGAAGACTGCTGCCGCCTGTAAAGCCTGGCCCACACCCCCTACGCAAGCCAGCTCACACACGCATGGAGGTGGGGGAGAGAGGAGAACATCTATTTACCCAAGCTCAAAGTCTCCTCAGCGATCAATAACCTGATGCCATGTCCCTTCAGCTCGGCCTTTGTCCTGTCGCGATGGGTCAGCACACCCCGTACAACGGCTTTTTTTCTCTTCTGAAATGGAGGTTTTGGAGGCTTGCAGGGGGAGAAGATCTGCAGGGGGAGCCTGGAAGAAGTCAGGGTAGGAGCACCTCCAGCTGTGCAGAGAAGAACAACGCAGGAGGCTGGTGCAGATAGCTTACGTTATCCTCCTCAGGGGACAGGGAGTTGCTGAGCAACTGCTGTATTTCTTAGCTACCCTCCTTGGTCCCATTGAAGGGAGAGGCAAAACGCAGGGTATGTGCTCCCCAGCACAGGGATGGAGCAGATGCTGGCTGGCAGGTGTAGATCGCTTGAAGGAGGGAAGATGGCAGTAGACAGCGGGTCCGGTTACCGCAGTGGTCATGCAGATAAAAGCAAAGCACGGCGTCTCTCAGTCCCGACCTGCAAGCGTCCCCCTGGTCTTCTTGCACTTCTCGCTGCCCAGTCTCCCGACACTGGGCTCCCTGTGCTCTGTCGCACCGCCACTCACTCTTCCCTGTGGCATCTGCTTTTCTTCTAGCTCAAGGTCCTTCCCACCTACCTTGCCTGTACCACGTTCTGCTTACAGCCCCGCAGCTGTGTACGTGCCCCTTTGTTTTTCACAAAAAAGCAACCACACTCCAGCTAGAGCAGAGTAAATAGACTTATTCTGTCAATAAATGGGTGGAGGGGACGGGGACATGGACGACTCTTGACCTAAGGCTGAGCTCCAGCCAGTGGCATTGACCTGGGGCTGAGCTCATTTGGGCCAGGGCTCATTTGGGCTCATTTTGAGAGCTGGGCAGGGATAGCTGTTTTCAGCTCTGCCACTGGTTCAGGTTTAGTCTGGGACTGCAAGAAGACTAAAAGCCATTGCTGTAGTTGCCTCATGGTGGATTCTAGAAGATAAATGTTAAAGGTGGATGAAAAGCTGCAGTGTTTGACTGGGAATGTCAGCGTGGTTATCCCAACTAACTCATTGCTGTACATATGGGAAACTGAGGCATGCAATGACAATAAGAAATGCTTTCAGAACTGCTCAAGAGATTTAAGAGACCAGACTTTGCTTTTGAAAATTACTTTGAGCCAAAATTTCCCCAGATAACTGGGGACTAGCTGCATCTTTAGGCATATATGTGTTCGTATATGCCTTTCCCAGGCTTACACTATGAGGGCTTGACACAGTGGGTCAGAAACCAGCTGAGGGTATTTCCCAATGCCAGAGACCTTACTTTTCTGTATCCACCTTTCCTGTAAAGAAGCATCCTCCTCTGTTTTTTTCAGCAGAACAAAAAATATAGAATCTCAATCTGATCTATCTAAGCAAGCATACCACATCTATCACCACAGGCTTTTGAATCAACCAAGGACCCAAAACCTTGATCAGATCTGACTTCAGAGGAATATCTGTACTGCAAGTACCCTTTACTTTCTGCTTCTCCACAGTAAAAAAAAGGAAGGAATGTGGGAGGGGGCTGAGAATGATGTTGCCTATTTATGAACAAGGTATCTTGGAAAGGAGATGAGCGGAGTGACAGCTATCTTAGCTGCCTCTGGGCTTAAGATAAAGAGAGGACTCATGCCTGTGGCTGTTAGTGCAATTTTTTCCGCATGGTGCTGGCATTCAGCTCTGGTTTGCTTCTGGTACTGATGGACACCGTAGTAGCATTTTTCTGTGGTTTTACAAACCACACACTGCGCATTCGCAGCGGCTTGAGAGGGGACCGCTCCCCATGTGACATTTCCAAAGAGCTCTTGGGGACCCAGCAGAGAAAGGGCCCCGTATCACTGAGTGTGTTATGCCTTTGGTATTCACAACCTGGGTTACTCACAGATGAGGCCACATGATCTTGTCTTCCTGGAAGAAAGGTCCGGTTATCGTCAGATCTGATGTCGAGCACTTCCTGCTGCAGTGTGTCACACATTCACACCCAGCGTGGCTGCAGATGCAGTGCTAACAGCTTGCCAGCTCCGAAGCTGTCAGCCTTTTCACAAGGGAGGGGAGGGGGGGGATACTGAGCCAGCAGGATGGTCCTCAGGGACCTGCAGCAGGATCACCTCCAGCTCTGCTTTCTGGTTTAGGTGGCTGATTCCCTTGGGGAAGGGAGTAGGAAGGAGGCTAAAGGTATATTGGTCCGAGCAAAGCTTTGCCTAGTCCCCTATTTAGAAAAGCTGTTAATCCTTTCCCCCCACCCCAAAGTACAGAAAAACACTGTAGATTCCTTAATGTTTCTTTTATTTACAAAAAGGCAAGGTTTTTCTCTCGTACTCATCTTAGCAGCAAGAATAGTTGAAAAGCTTATGAAGATCTATATTAGGACAGGATAACCATCAGTACAACCAGGATACTTGGCCCATGTAATATAGCAAGTTGGGATTCAGTGTCTCTTCTTGAAGTTCATCCTGGAAGATTCTCAAAGAACAGCAAACAGCTGGGCAAGCCTTGTGCTTCCTTATCTGGGAAGCTGTGGGTTCTTCTTCACATGCTGTCTCCTGGAGACAGCAGAGCAGTCCATGTCTTGATGCAGGTGGTGAAGAAGCTGATGAGAGGAGAAATATAGCTCCCTGAGCCCTCTCAGCTGCAGGCAGGCTCAATATCTTTGAGCAGCTCTTTTGAGGTGAAATCCAAGCCAGCGGGTGACCCATAGCTGGGACTCATAATGACATTCAGGCTGCATAATGCAAGGTCAGGTAACAGTGTGGGACCAGGACAAAGGGGAAGCTCAGTGCTTGTACAGGCAGAAGTAGGGAAGAATTAGTCCTGGGTGATAGTCACAGGGGTGACAGAAGTACCGAGAAGTTCGATATTCTTGACCTGTTTGATATAAAACTCTTAGAAGAAAGATGTTTAGCACAGGGCTGGTATTTTCCCACTGCTGAATATTCCAGAAATATGGCAAGAAAGCAGACAGGCAGTACAGATGTTGAATGCAGGGATGGATGTAACCAGAACATCTTGTCTTCCTTTGCCTTGCCAGCTTTCTTCTGTGGTGTGCTGCTTTCTCTCAACCCAGATCAGCAAATGCAGAGGAAAAAGAAAAAAAAAAAAAGGTAGTCTTTGCTATCCCCATTCTTTGTGAGTGGCTTGAGGTTTTCTTTTCAGCAAAGGTGCTGATTCGTGGGTTAGTTTTCTGGGCTCGTTCACCACATCTTTGCCGCTAATTAGGCAATGGTTTCCCTTGAGCAATGGAAGGAATGGGCAGCACCGTTGCGATGTTTTCCACTAATACAGGATGTGGGATGAACTATTCTGCAATCAGCTTATCGTAGTCAAATAACTGTATTTTGCCAGCAGGGCAGAGAGGCTTTCGATTTCATGAAAAATATTGCAGCAAGAATGGGAAATTGTGTGCGTTCTTTTTACTGCCATCATCAGACCTGGGGGAAAGAAGGAGGGGGAAGGGGATTTCCCCAGTATTTTTAACCCAATAATGGGGATTTCTTTTTACACTGCGTTGCTTAGACAGCTGACACAGTTGTGGCTCTGAGCTGACCTTAGAGACTCGAGTCTAAAGCTGGGCTGTGTAGTGCAAAATGTAATCTCTGATTAAAACCTGAATTGGGGACATCACAGAAAAAAATCACACCTTTGGTTAGTTAGGAGGAGATATCTTCATCCATTTCATCATCGGCCCCAGCACTGACTGGCATTGCTACTGTTCCTTGTACAAAATCTCATATCTACCTCTTCAGGCATTTCTCCCTCCCATTAGAGGTTTTTAGGCTGGGATGAGGCAAATGGACCATGTGCTTGCTGAGCTTCAAAGCTGAGTGCTATTTTACACCAAGATGCAGAGCATGGAAATGCTGTCACAGCCTCCTGCTGGGAGCTGGGAAGGAAAAAACAAACTTTTTTTGGTTTGGTGGGGTGATGGCACCTTGGTGAGGTTCGGGATGGCACTTAAGCAGAATGAGAAGGGGTTTCTGTGCCATTGGATCCAGTAATAGCAGAGAAACAGGTTCAGTTATGAAGGTGAGTCGTTGTTGGCATGTATGCCTAAGAATCAGGCTTCTGTGTCTCCATTAGCTGTATAGCCACTGAACAGATTTAATATGGCTTTATCATTCTCCATGTATTGCTTTACTGTCCACTAGCCCAGTTCTCCATGCAAAATGTCCTCTCATGTTCAGTGATCTGTTTCTCCAGCATTTTATCCTGGGAGCTAGCACTACCCATGCAGCCACCCATGAATTTACACCTTGTCCATCCCATGCCTTTTCTGGTTTGCAGCCCTGTAGAGTAACTGTGTTCTCCAGCATCATTAAAGAACAGTCCCCACAGGTTTGATGCTGAACACATGTTCGTGTCCTGACTAGAAAAACTGTCTATCTAGTCTTCCCTGCAGAAAAGGCCTTTCCCACCTGTGGGTTTTCTCCAGGCAGATCCTAGACGGAGCAATGGCTGTACTGGCTTTGGAGCTCCCTCAGAGAAAGGTAGGCACCAGTGTTTGGGACCTGGCTGGAGAAGGCTATTCTGCATGGATGCTCATCCTGGCTTTGCTTTAGAGATGGAGGTTGAGAGAAAGAGGTAGCATGTTCTCCTGGTGTACAGGGGTCAATCGGAGGACCTGCCTTCCCACTCCCCTCCGTTATATCGATAGTATGGCTGTCACGCGGGTCTGGTGGGTCAGGAGAGTCAGTGTCCAGCTGGCACAGGGCCTCAGCAGGTTGTAAAGCTGCTTTGTCCACCACCTTCTCATCCTGTTTCAGAACTGGTGTTGGTGAGGTGTCTTCACTTGACTGGAGAGCCCCAGAAATAGCCATGGCCCGCTGGGCTTCACCTTCTGACTCTTCTACAAAGGAGCTACGTTGGAAGCCCCGGGTCGCCTTGATACAGTGGAGGAAGTTTTGGGACAACGAGTGCATGTCCTCTGCCAGTGTGCAGAGGTCTGGGGAGGAGAAAGCATGGTAAGACTCGCCATCCTTGCTGCCACTGCCCTCCTGGGTAAAAGGCTCATAGGTGAAGTAGACCTGACAGGGCTCGATCTCAAAGGAGCTGGGAAGGTGGAAGAAGAAGTAGCCTTGGTTGGTGAAGCAGCTGGATACAGAGTGCCCACTAGTTTCTAAGGGAGGATCAGGAGTCAGCGTCCCCTTGGAAAGTAGAAACTGGGATTCCTGTTCAGTCTTCTGCATCACCTCGAGCATGGAGATCTCTGGGGTTGTGCTGTTCACACAGTAGGAAGATGTGGAGAATGGGGAGGAGAGCCATTTCTGATGGGGAAGAAACACAGGAGAGAGACTGTTACCCCCAAAGTATAACACTCAGTGAGGAACCAAAGGTTTCTTCTCCTGAGCACCCACAGCAATCAAGTGACCTTTTCTCTGTCCAAGCAAGAGTTGCTGGAGGTGGTGGGGAGGGAAATTCACATTCATGATGTCTCATCTGCAGGATTTTCTGAGAAAGTATATCTTTCTGTCACTTTGAAATCAAGAGCGGATCTTGCAAGCCTATGTTCTGAGATTTCTGGAGGGGGGAGCAGAAGATGGAGGATTAAAGTGAAAGGAAGAAAAAAAATTACAAGGCCATAAGATGAAGCGAAGGTAGAAACATGAAAAGCAGTACTGAGATGCATCTCATGCAATCTATTCCCAGGTGCTGAACCAGTTTCTGATACATCTAGATGGCCGTATGCAGATTTCTTGTCTAAAGTGCTCTTCCAGGCCCCTTGTGCCTAGATTTGCACACTCACCATGAGTGGCATCCTGCAGTGCATCATTATCCTTAAAAATAAACTGGTTTTCATAACATCCAACTTCATTGCCTTTATGGCCAGTAAAGCCAATTTTTCTAGTTCTTTCTGCACTGAGAAAGTGTCTTCAGTGCCTGCTGCACACCCCCGCCCCCCTACTCTGCACTCTTCCCCTGTAGTTTAAGCTTTCTAAGGCTTTTTGCACTTAGGCTTTTCCAAAGCTTTGGTGTCCTCTGGACCCTCTGCAGTTTGTTTCCATTCTTCTTAAAGCAAGATGCCCCTTGGGATCACCTCCCACGTCTTGCATCTGCCACTCCCTTTAATACTGCACAGAATGATAATTGTCTCCTTGCAGCTGCCCATACTTACGGAGAGATTAGGGGAAGGGAGAAAGTGGGGGTGGAGAAAGAAGGGAAAGAGACAACAAGGATACAGAAAACAGCTAAGTGCCATCCAGCGTGATGGCAATTTACATTAGGAGCTGAGGAAAGGCTCACAGCCAGGAGGAGGGGATCACAGCAGGAAATCTGGGGAAGAGCCACCCAGCCTAGGGCAGGCAGGGAGAGACCAAAGTGGGGCAGAAGGGCATCTGAGAGACCAAGCTCCCCTGTTTTCCGCAGGTCCCTTGTTTTCTCTCAGCCTCCCTGTTAGGGGAGCAGAGCGCTGAGGTTTGCGTGGTTTGCCGTTTCTCAGTTCTGTAATTAGAGATGCCTCAGCCGCATGTCAAGTTTTAGAAGGTCAGAAAATAAAACCCGAGCAGAGAACCCAGCAGCTGGTGCTACAGGCACATGCGTCGTGCGTGCACATGTAGGTCTGACAAGGAGCTGTCTGTCCCAGGCACGTGCAGCTGGACCCTCCTTTCCCTCATTACCACATGGCTCCATCCCCAGTCCCATACCTGAATGTCACCTCCGTGAACAGAAACGAGTGGGGGAAAGAACTTGTCAGGGTCTGGGATGTGAATCTTCAGGATCTTCTTAAACCTTGAGAAGAGAGAATGAAGAGGAATGAAGCAGGGCCTGATCCTGACCAATCTGGCACTGTGGTGGGGGTATGCAGCTCATGGGTACTACCCTGGTGTGGGGGGAGGTAAAATAAGAACAAGCCCAAGGGCTCTCCTTACTCTTGAGTGGCCTGAAAGACACTAACTGAGGGATGAGAGGTGTAGAGATGAGGCAGTTAAACCTGACATTGGAAAATACACTGCCCTCAGCCTTTTCCCTGGGGAAGCATGACCAACAGCTCACTGGTTTCTTCCCTGCCTTGGCGGGTCACCTTAACCTCTCCACCTGCCCCCTTGAGCCCCTGTCCTGATGACAAGCTGGGCAGGTCTCTCTCCTTTCCAAGCTCCAGCTGCTGTCATCTGTCCCCTCTTTGCTTTGCTGCCACCACAATGACTCAGAGGACCACGTATCCTGAGCAGGACCACCACTGGCAAAGCTGTACCACAACCCTCTGCCTTGTTAGCAGGATGCTGCATGGTATAGGTAGGACGTGCTGGCCGTGCAAGCCATGTGAGTACATTTTGCATCAGTCCAGAGGCCTCTACTTTACTGGAACCAGTGTGTTGTCATCCTGAGGCAGCATGAAGTGATCTAATCTGCTCCTCAGTCCCTTGGAGAGGTTGGCTGATCCTGTCAGCTCTTTGCTGAAGCTTTGCTGTGGGATGCTCTGAGGAAAGACCCTCCTGACCTCCAGAGGCAATCAGTGTACTCTCTGAAGCATCAGAATTTGCTAGTTCTTGCATATAAACTACCTTACATCACTGCAGATGCTATTTTTATTCATGCATGTCTAATCCTTCCTTGGATCTTACCTCAGCATTAACCTCCATCCAATTCCCCCAGGTTAATTATACTCCATGGAGAAAGGAGGCCTTTTTATCTCTCTGTGCCATATAGTTAGCACTTCCTCACCTTTGTGTTATGACTCAAGGTAAAACACAGTGACGAGTGACTTTCTGAGTATCCATCTTCCTCCAGCATGCCTCTCCTTCTTTCCTTACAGAGAAGCCATCCAGCCTCTGCTGCCTCATTCCTGAGAATATTTCTCCCTGCTCCCTGCCATGAACATCAGCACCCTGCTTCTTCGCCCCCGTCCTGAGATGCAAAAACCTGCGGCCATTTCTAACCTCGCCATGCTGACAGGTCACTTTCCTTATTATTGCACGGGGTAACCTTGTGAGATGTTTTCAGTTCTGAGAAAAAGCAGTGTCTAGGTAGAAATGCTGGAAAAGAGATCTTTAAAACATCACATAGAGGTTTACCAGCATGTGATGAGAGACTTCAGGACTGCACAGACCAGGGAGAGGAAGAATTGTACTCCTCACTCAAGAATTTTGCCTACAGCCCAAATGTCACCACGTCCTTTCTGAGCTCTTCTGGGAGTGTTTAAATGAGAAGGTAGCAGTACCTAGGCTGCCTGGTCCTCTCTACTGAGGGAGTGCTCAACCCAGTGGCCTGCTTTTTAAGAGGCAATTTTGGTGCATCCCTGCCGGGGAACACCACTTAACCCCTGGACAACAGAAATGCTGTGGTGACTGTTTTTAATTCAGCCAGGGCATGGCACCAGATCACAGGAGCGCAGCACAATACCATGATGGTGGGGAAACCACATCATCTTGGTGGTGATATATGTCCCCAGACAAATGTCAGCCTCAAAAGGCTGGGCTATAAACCATATATTTCAGTCGCTGTCTATCCTGAGTAATGCCAAGTGAAAAATAACACAGGTTTTGAGAAGACACACAAGATATAGGAGAGGAAAATTTGATTCCCATTTACCATTTCAGGGTCCGTAAGTTAATAAGGAAGGCAGTCCCAATGATCACAAAGATGCAACTGCTCACTATAAGAGCTGGCAGGACCGGCCGGGATGTTTCTGCAAAATGAGAGAGAATGAGGGAGTTGCTGTGAAAATTTAGTCAGGATACTGGAGGCAGGAGCTGCAGCCCTAGTGTGGCTGTTCAAGGTGATCAAAGTGGGCCTTTATTATAATTTTATATAATATTATAAAACTGTACAAAATTATAATATACAGGGCCTTTATTATAAATTGTGTAGGATGCCTTTGAGCTGCTATGGGTTTCAGAGTCTGCTTGGCATTGCTTAATAGATAATTTGTGCTGAACAGCTTGAACTCCCTGTTCATAACAGCACCACAGCTGGGGGTTGCCACAGATGAAGTGCCACAGCCTACTGGTTGAAGTGTCCATCAACCTGTCTGTCTCATTGCAAAGGAAAGCAGAGGGTCCTAGAATCAGCTTAACTGGGACTGGAGACTTGAAACAACATTATGAGTCGTTGGGGAGACAGAGTCACGGGGTTCATGGGTCTTTGAGAAGGCAGGAAGACCAAGGATGGAGAAGGTTAGGGGTCAAGGGTCTGGATTCTTTCTTTGGAGAGGTGCAGGAAAGCTTTAGGAGGCTAGGAAGGTTACAGCTTTCCACCATATTTTAGTACTTGGATTGTAGGGTTAGGAGAAAGAAACTGAGTTCCCAGATTGCCAGCGCTGCCAGCACTCCTCAGGCTTGTCTGGCATCATCTCAAACTTTTCTTAATCTATCTCTTTCACACACATCTCCCCCATACACCTTTGCTTGGTCTTGCTATTCTGGTGCCTGTCTCCTCTGCCTGCCCCCTCATGTCCCTCCATCCCTAGTGTCCCTTGGTCTGGGCCTGCAGAGCATCTCTGGAGTAGTTGTGAGAAAAATACAAGAAGGAGGAGGCATTTTTAGGACATCCTTTCTTTGCCTGTCCTTGAGATGCTACTCAGATCACTTTGTCTCCTCTGCCTCTGGTACCCTGGTTATCTTTGGGTCTTGGTTGCTATGACAACTGGTTGCGGCTGTATCCTATTCATTGACATCACACGCTGTCAAAATTTGATCGCCACAGCAATACAGTGCCCTTTCTAAACATAGCTCCTCTGTTTATACCAGCACCAGGCACAACAGGGAGGGGCTGAGCAGGGGCAGAGTGGGGATGACATGAGAAGGAATAACCTCTATCTGCTTATTTTTTGGAAAAGAAATGACAGAAACCACAGCCAATGACTCACCGAAAAGACTTGCTCAGGGCACTATCTTTCAAGGCCGGAGGTGTCCTCTGTGCTGTGGTTCAAGGCAGTGACTGATGCCAGTCCCAGCAGACCTTTTTGGAAGGGACTTAACATGCTTGTAAGTCTCTTCCATTCTCCGTGAGACTTTGCTTCCTAGGCTCAGGTGTCCTTTGGTTCAGGAGCTGAGCTCTCTGTTTCACTGCATTTCACTGATCAATGGCTCCAATGAACTGGGCCATTTTAGAAAGCTGGATTTATGTTCCTAGGTCACATTAGCACCTGGGAAAACGCCAGTCCTGGCCACTGCTTTGGCAGGTCAGACATCTGGCCTTACTGCTCTGGGGAAGCAGTCCCTGATTTACATCTTGTGGATTTTGCCTGGCTTCTGGAAGTCACAGGGGCTGTGTTGGGGTTGGGGAGGGTCTTTGCCCTTAAGCCCTGTTGAGCCTGCCTGACCTAACAGATTAGGAAGGCCAGATTGTTTCCAACCTTTCTACTGCTCTTTGGTCAACACAATCCTCCCTACCCATCTTCTTCCAGCTTCTCAGCCTGCTTTGGCCCTTCTACCTTGTTTTCCCCGAGTCCCCATTTTCCCCTCCAAGTGAGACTGCTTGACTCTGATCCTTACGGTCAGCATGTGTCCTCCACAGTATCGTCTTGCTCCAGTCGCTCCACACGCCTTTGTAGGTACCTGAGGCGCTTGGCCTTGCACGGACAGCTGCCTCGTATTTTGAGTTGGGTGAGAGGCTCTCAAACACCACCCACATCTGGTCCTGCAGAATGGTGAAGATCCTGGCCTCCTGGGAGTAGGGCAAAATTAGAGCATCATCAACACCCTGGCTTACAGCCTCATGCACCCATCTCTTCCAAGGCCCTCAGAGAGGACTTGTCTCAGATCCCTACACCTTGTGCATTGCTTGTTCACCCTGCAGGAAAATTCTTCTTTGCTTTGCTTTTTTCATCCCTTTCAGGTCTTTCCTGGAGCTGTCTGGATTTCTTTGTGGCAGCACTAAGTAAAACAGGATTCGTGTCTGCTTTCATGTCATCACCAAATGCTGGCAGCAGGTGACACATATAAAAGGGGCGGGGGGTGTCATCTGCTCTCCAGCTTCACCAAAACTGGTTTTGCCCTCAGCAGAGGTCCAGGAGCAAGTCCTGGGTGATGTAAAGAAGACCAGGATTCGTATGGTGACAGGTCTTAGTACCTCCATCTATACTCACCTCCCAGGATTGACTTGTGGCTCGATACCGCACTTGGTATTCCCGCTCCCCATTCAAATAGTGAGAGGAAATTTTCAGGCTCCACGTTAAGTTGTAGGTGTTTTCAGATTTGCTAACCAGCTGAAGATCTTCTGGAGGCCTCAGCTTTACTGAAAAGAGAGAAGGAGCAGGGCTGACACCTCTGCACTATCTGTCCATAACAAGACTCCACCACAAACCCCACCGCAGCAGGGTTGGTGTCTTGGCTGCGCTCACAGACTCCAGCCAGCCACAGCCACAAGAGATGGTTAGTGAGTTCCCCCTCTCTCTTCCTCCTTCTTCCCCACTGTCACTGATGGCAAAAGACCACAGTTGCCTCTGGACTCTGTTAAAAGCAGCTCCTCCTGTGAGTGCAATCAATCCCACATGGCCATGCATCCTACCCTGTAAGGGTGATCCACAAGGCAATTGCAAGGGCAGGAATGGAGCATGGTTGGGGAGAGAGCTGCTTCCCAGCTGCTCTTTCAGAGAGCTACAGCCACGGGGGATGGAGTTACACAGACTGTCTAGGCTGATCCTTCCCAATCCCTGACTCCAGCCATGCCTTCTTATGCCTCACCTTGCAGCAGCTCTTTTGGTGTCTCCTTGAGCCATGTAAACTCACACGACCAGCAAACAAATGACCCAAGCAGATGTTTTTCGGCTGGATTAGTGAGTTGAATCCTTTCAGCAAAGAGTGACGCATGCCAAAGCTGGCTTAAAGGAGGGTGGAAGCACATATCTGGTAGGAGGGGCAGGGGAAGAACAGCAAAACTTTCCCTCCTTCCTGCAGCACGCATTTTTCAGGAGGTCAGCTGAGCTGTCATTGCCTGTTTGAAGCCAGAACTCCTAGTGCAAAGCACTCTAATTTAACAGTGTCCCAGATACAGGACAGGATAGGAAGTGACTGGCATGATACTGCATGTTAGAGGTGCAAGTGGCAGAAGTCAATGTGGTTTATCTGTGCTAGTTGTAGCAGAGGACAAGGAAAAGACACAAGTCTAAAATCAGCTATAGGTATTGCATAGGGGTGGATGGGGAAGAGAAATGAGCTATCATTTTGTGGGGAAGCTTCAGAGACTGCAAGACAGATGAGTACTCACTATTTGCAAGTGGACTGAAATCTTCTATTTGCACAGGTATAGACTTATTCTCTCCAATGTGGCAATGGACAGAAATGGTAAGACGGTCTGAAGCGGTGAAGCATTGAGTCTGCAAGGAAAATTTACCGTTAGTGACACTGAAGCCTCATCAATAAGCATTCATATTTCTAAGCATTGCCTGTGTATAAGAGGTTTAGGAATACTTGACAATAAATATGGATGATATTTGTGACTGAAAGGCATAAGCCTCAGTGGCAAGTGAGGAACCAAAGATTTATACTTCATGTGGTTGGATTTTTTTTGTTCATTGGCAAGAAGGGCACAAAATATTGTGATATGCTAGTTTCCTAGGATTGCTGTATGTGCTGACTAAGCAGAAAAAAAGTTACTTCCTATAAGTGACATTCATTGAGAAAACGTATTTTTACTAAAACATTTTCTGTTCATTGGTAAGATTGAGATGACATTAGTATTAAATATTACTCTTGAAATGCAATGATACTAAAGGGCCACATATATCATACAGTATTAAATAAGCAATAGGGAAATTAGCTTGATTAGATAGAAAGAAAAGATTTTGGAGCTGTTTATCAACCCTGCAATTTGTCTTTGTGCACGATGCACAAATGTAAGAAAGCTTGTCCATCATTAGAACTGGTTGTGACTTTATCAATAAGGAGAATTAGCTTGTATTTGGGTGGGGTTTTATTCTGAAAACACAAGGACTACAGTAACTCTGGATATGACTGAAGAAAGTACATAATGAGTCTAAAAAAAGACTGCTTTAAACAAAGAATAATAGCTAGAGGATTTGCATCACCATCAGCTCCACTGATGTGTCGCTGTTGCATCTTGCATTTGACACATCTAACCAGACTTCCCAGTAGTTAATGATCTGGAAAATGGTACTGACCTCTTCAAGGAAAATGAGGTCAAGAGGTGACCTAAGAGCTGGTGGTGATATCCATCCCTCCTCAGAGGAAGGGATTAGGGCCAAACCCAGCTGAGACATGGAACACTGCATGTGATCTGTCTGTCCTGCACCTCTTCAGCACATGTCAGGACAGCATGGCTCAGCTCACAATGAAGCTAATCCCTCCTGCAGGGGAACCCACAGGGATGATGCATATCAACAACACACAACATCAAGCCCAACTCCAGAACTGGAGTCAGGGATTAGATTTGGGCTTTTTATACTGCTCCTGGCTGTCACACTGTTTATACACCCCAAATCCACATACAAATCCTTTCCACCTTGTCATTAGCCAGGACATCCCAGATGAATTACTCACATTACTCTTTTCGCTGAAGGTCTTGTTGCACTTCAGTCCTGTCGTGTGTTCTGCCTTGTGTAATTCACAGTGCTCGGATCTGTCATGTAAGAATATTGATCTGGGTTTTAAGCAGGAGAACTCCAGTGAGCTGGGGAGGCTTTTTTGTATTTTGTCAAAATTTACATAACACTAAAGGCCTTTCAAAGCATTTTGCATCCTACCATATTTGCTGAACAGGGTACAGCAAGGAAGTAATCCCACTTTCTCTTCCCACTGCGTCACTCAGAAAAATTTCACATACTGGCACATGGAGAGTCAATGTATCCCAGTTATTTCAAGCGAAAGATAACAGTAGGTTTCCAGTTTCCAAGTCTACACAAAACCCTCTTGCTACCTCCTCTGCTTCCTGTTGATATCAGAGGGCTTGCAGACCCCAAACTCACCTGCTGCCCACAACTGCACCAACATGGCCCTGGAAGACAAGTGCCTGTTTCAACCCCTCCAGGGTTTACAGGTCTCCTTCAAGCCACTGACAGTCCTGTAGGATCTCAGATACAGACCGAGATGCACCTTCTGAACCAGGTCACATCCCAGCCAGCCAGGACCATACGTCACACATGGCAGCGCTACGCCATGACCTCTCTTCTGCTCTGACAAGCGTGGCTGGACAGCCAAAACTGAGCTATGGCACAGGGGGTGACAGGGTGGGAGACCATCTGTGGGGCTGCAGCTGAGGGGGTATCAGACTGAGCTGCCTGCTCCAGCTGTAAGGTCAGATCAATCCTAGGACTTGCTGATGGTGGGGAGAGGTGGTAACCTAAAGCCCTGGTCAAGCAATGGCACAGTTCCAAATCCAGCCCCAGCCTCTGTGATTCACACCCGTGGAGCAACATAAATCTTTTGGCTTTCTAGGTCCATGCGCCAGGCCCCAGAATATATTTGCCCATTTCACCCTGTTGGAGGTGTCTCTATGACAGTCACAAGCAACCCACTCACTGCCAGAATCATGCTGAGCGTCTCCTTATGACAGGCACCCAGGGGAGCCCCGGGGAAGGCTGGTAAGTCTCTTGGCTGGAGATGTCATACTTGGAGACCACAGAGACTCAGCCAGCCCCCACTGTGGTACTGGTCACACACCTACCCCTCTGCTGGAAGATGTGTGGGAGAGGAAAACATCATGGATTGAAAGAGATGAAAGGGCTGGGGGAGACAGTGGGAACAATATTGTCCTTCATTTACTGTTACTCAGGGTGCAACATCCCAGCTCATCCTGGCAAATGGCCTCTGTATAACTTTAATTCCACCTTCCTCCAACCCCATCTCTATACATCCTCTTTTTCCATTGAAAATGCCTTTCAGTCCAGAGGATGGCTACCAAGGAAGAGGGATTTTTTTGAAAATGAAGCACAGACAGAGCTATGGAGCTGGAAGATGGGCTGTGCTAGACAGTTTGGGACCGTCAGATGACAAACTCTGAGCAGGGGCCAGCATCTCACCCCAAATGGGGTCAGAGACAGAGTTCAAGACAAAGCTCCTTGCCTCTGCGACTCCACTACGTCTGACCTGGCGGCGAGGATCCTACATTTTTGTTAAGTGGTAAACTTTCCAAAACACTTTTCATTCAAAGCATTGGCTTTCCTCAGCCTCTCCAGTCACCCACCTGCCACAAAAACCTAACTTTGATGAAATCTCCAGCTGGCATGCTCCTTCAACCAGGTCCCTGCCTGGGTTCCAGTCACAGAATAGGGCTGCCCGTGAGTCATACCAACAAGTTAGGCTGGAGGCACCTGCCAGCAGAGAAGAGATGGAGAGCATCGTGGCTGAATTAGCAATGATGTTTGTCATTAACCATCACCTCAGACAGTTCTACCCCATCCCAAACTACAGACTGACTCCTCTGCTGGATAACTGTCTCCAAGTAAGAAAGGCAGAGGCACTCACTTCTCTATGTCCTTGGAGGCTGATGTTCTCATAAGAGACCTGTAACTATTGCAGCCTCCTCCGGCTGTGTTGCACCGCAACACACCGTGGTGCACACACTCCTCCGGCTGACCCCCTCCCTGCTCGCCCAGCTGGTATGGGTGAAGGGAATCACTTCTTACCTTGTGCCAAGTCTGATGCCCGTGAGAGAGACATGAGGCTGAACAGCCAGAGGTGACACAGAAGCAGCAAAGAGGGCTTCATCGGTACTGGAGACACACTGAAAGAGAGAAGACGCCCCCCCAACATAACTCAGCAATGCAAATTAGGAAGATGTCATCTCACAGGAGGCATCCGCTGTCCTAGGGCAGGGCTCAAAGCCGGTGCCGATCTTCCAGGCTCAGAAACTCATACTCCTTCTCCGGAGTCTGTGCTTTTCCCTCAGCACCTCATTGTTTTCTTGCCTTGGGTGCTTTGCTCAGCACTGAAACCGTTCGCAGTGCAGCACAGATGGGCTGTTTGCAGGGGTAATGCCTTCTGGAAATGCGTGTGTGAGCACACAGCAGTCTGCGTGTGTTGTTTCAGGCTGCTTGCTGACTAAGGTAGAGAGTGCTGCCTCGGTTGCACATGGCTTGTGCTTTGAAGAGCTTCTTTTTTTGGTCAGCCCTAGGGTTGAAATAACTAGGTGCTTGCAGAGTAAGAGGGGTCTCTGCCTGCAACTGACAGAAGTTAGTTGCAGAGTCCATGGCTTAGGAGGTAGATTTTAAATGGCTTGTTTGGGACAGGGAGGAAATCAGGAAGAAGAAGGAGTTTATCAGGTTCTGGAAAGTCAAGGCTTTACCATATCACAAAATACTACATAGTTATGCACAAACCATGCACCATCCTCACCAAGTAGACCCCGCACTGCCTTGGAAGGAGCTGTGCTTTTAGGTGTAGCAGAAAATGTTGGCTTTGTAATTAGGAAACTGCACCACCCCTCATCCACCCGTGGCACCCAGAAAGACTCCTTGTCTTAGAAAGCCTATGCAGCCATGCTCCGTATTGGACAGACTGGGCTTATGGGCTTCTCATCCAATCCTTCCCCTCTCCCCATCCACCTGGACACCCGTACCTTGAGGTCTGCCTCTGCCCACAGAAGGGACCTCCGTCACCTCGCAGCAAGCCTGAAACCCAGTCAGAGCTGAGCAAAACAAGACAGAGTCCCACTGGACCCTGCTGGGACTGCCAGGGGAGTGGGAAGAGAGTTTATAAAAGGCTGGCATGAAGCATATCATCGATTCCCGTTGTGATAAAAGATTAGGTTCAGATGAAGAAAAACATGACGACAACACATTAACAGAAAAAGGGGAGAGAAAGAGAGAGAAAGCAAGCAGGCAGCGTAGTTGTGAGATGTGGGGTATGATTTGAGAGGACTGTGGAGAGACAGAGAGATAAATACATGCTCAGCCCTCCCCAGCAGCAAGATTCAGTTTGTCAGACCGAAACTCCTTCCAAGACGCTTTTCGGATCAGCCACCCCCGTGTGGGAGAGAGCTGGCATCACCCCCTTTACCTTCCAGCTCCAGGCACTGAGCGGTCCAGACAAAGGGAGTCCCCGGGGACCAGGTCGTGTAGTTGGATGGAAGCAGGTGCTGGACGTCAAACCGTGAGGGGAACGGGGACGGGGGAAAGGGAGAGGGATGGAGGCAGATCTCCTAGCTCAGTGCATGTCCAGGTGTCAGCCAGCGCTGCTGGCACGAGAGGAGGGGTGCCTCCAGCCTGGCAGTTCTGCTGCGGAGCTGTTCCTCTCGGATGTGCGTGGTCTCTCTCTGTCTTCTCCCTCTCACCTTTGCACAGGAAACTGCCGCTTGCTTGCCTTGTCAGACTGAGACGAGGCCCTGAAGTATCGAAAAGGCTAGCGAGGCCGAGAATAAAAAGCCCCAAACCACGTCCTACTTCCTGCTGGTAAAGCGATAGGTGCAGAAACAAGGGTGGAGGGATCAGGTGTTAGCTTGCAGTACTCAGATATACTGGGACCAGTTTGTAGCTATTGCTGGGAAGCAAAAGAGAGAGAGAGAGAAGGACCTCTTCTCTTGGGACATCAGCAAGAAACCCATAGCTTCCTCTTTCAGACACCCGAACAGATCATTCATATCACTCTTGGGGTCTGCACATGTGCAAGGATCACTTTGAAACTGGATAGGAGTCAATTTGCAGCAGAAATACTGTGGACCGCTTTGTGAAAAATAACTCGAGTCATTGACCTAAGCAACACCAGAATGAAACCAGCCTCCACATCAGTGCCCCAGTTTCAGAGGATCCATCCTGGGTCAGAGCAGGAGTGGAACGAGGGCAGTGCAGAGTGTGAGCAAGCTTGAGGCACAACCCTCACACTTGCAGATGGTGTGACACCACAGGAACACCCATCCTGCAGCCTCCCTACCCAGCCGAGCACCCCACTTGCTCCGCAGAAGGAGGAATCACCTCCTCCAACCTGAGCCTCACAGCTAGTCCAGACAGGCAAAACCACCCCGCGGTAGCTGCAGTGCTGGTTTGGCATGGCTTGTCCATTCAACAGGCCAGACAGGGATGCAAAAAAATACGTCCAACTTCTTCCAAAGCTTTATGTGCCCTCACCCTCACAGATGGATGACCGCTCACAGGCCCTGCAGGGCACATTTAGTTTTAGAAGATCCTTTTGCCACAGGCAGACGTCTTCCCCAGAACACTTTGCCTTCACATCCCAAGCCAAGACAGATGGACAAACACAAACCCCCAGCCCAATGCTTGCCCGGTTCACAGATAGGCGTGCACATGCATACATGTCCCCGCACATCTCTCTTTTTACGTACGCAAACACAATTCTCTGAAGTGCAGCGTATCGCGTTTCCTGTCTGGTCTGGGCTTCACAAAGGTGGCCACTGATGTGGGGCCAAGTGATGAGAACCTCCTTTCATACACACGGTGGTCACCGCGCTCTGTGCTCCTCACCTTTGTCTCCTAGAGACCTCAAGGCCCGAGCTCGGGTCCGCCAAGCAGGTTTTGCTGACCAAAAATGGCCAGAGGCTAATCTGAAGTCTCCAGGCAGTTCCTTTTTGCGGACTCTATCAACCTGGAGGATGGGGCCTCCTTTACCAACAAAGGGATCTTGGTTTCAGGTAGTGGAAAAAGGGTGTGGGAGGAGGATGAGGTTTTAGTCACAGGCAGCCCAGCCCAGAGACTGGATCTCAGAATATATTAGACCTCAAAAAGAAATAGTGTTGGAACGAAACAGTGATTTGGAGGCATGGGCGGAACCATTTTGAAGGAGGTTGCAACAGTAGATCCTCATAGCCATTTCTGGGAGAGCATTGCAGCTAATCCAGCATCAAGCACTCACTTAGCCAGCAGTCTGGAGTGCAACACCGCTTTCCTCACCACGCATGACATGGACCAGGAGTCTGAGAGGTGTCATTTGGATGCTCTTGCTAGTCATCTGAAGACTCCTGTCACGGCCACCCTTTGTGATGGCAACTGGGTAATCTGACCAGCCAGCCTCTCTTGAAGAGGAGCAGGGGAGAGGACAGGCTGTGTGCTCTCCTCCTCTGGAAATCACTGACTGTGGTAGTTGCACCTTGGAGGGTCCCACCAGGGTGGAGCTGTAATGGCAGGTATCATCAGGGCACAGCCTGCCTTTCCCAGGAACTCTTAAAATGAATGCAGCTTATTCTGGCACAGAAGTCCTCTCCTGAAGGAATTAAGTGCTCTGTGTGTAACTCCTTGATATCACCAGCCCTGCAGCTGCAATGGAGTTTTCACGTTAACCATAATTTTTCCTGTTTGTCCATCAGACTGAGAAATCTGTGCCTTCCTTCAGATCAGAGATCACTTTGGGAAAGCAAGAGCACAAAGTACCCATTTTTTATTGTTCAGCTTATCAAAAGAAAAAAACCCAGTTTCCCTGTTTTTTCTTTTTTCCTTTTTTTAATGTGTAAGTATCAGATGAGGTTGGTTTTGCACTGTGTTACCTGAAATAGTGGAAGAAGAAAACTTAACATGTAGTTAGTCCCTAGAGAAGATGAGCAGCTGCTACAGTTGAAAACAAGGATTTATCTGGTCAGCCAGTTCACTGGAGAGTCTTTTCTAAATCTGGGTGTCTCCAATAGATTCTCATGCAGATTTTTTAATATCTGGTAAGGACTGATGTCACATTGAAGAATTTCCCAATGAGGGTCCTAACGGAGAGCCAGCTTTCCTCTATCCAGCCACCTTTGCTTAACAGTAGTAAGGGATATACCTCTTTGTCAAGTATGACTGGAACTGATTGACTTTTCCAAAATTGTGGAGAGGGGGAATGGTCCAACAAATCAGCTAACAGACAGCCAAACACCACTGTGTGGAGACACAGACAGCCTCAGCAGGTTTAATTTCCACTGGAAACACAGTTTAAAATGTTCTAAAGCACCAACTGTGTGGCATAAGTAAGAAAGGGTTTCCTACACAGGCATGATACCTTGACTGTGTCCAGACCCCTTCTGATACAGATAAATACACTTGCTGTCAACACAGTTTTCAGACTTGATTGCTCAGGTTGCTGTGCTACTGAGAATTTGGCACTTTTTATCTCCTTTACACCGATGTTGTTAGGAATGATGCCATTTGTAATGTGAGAAGCCAAACAAAACCACATTGTCAGCAACACATGCGAAGTGTTCTTGTGATTACCTTCCTGTCCCCATAATGGTGACTGAGACGGGCGAACTCACTAGTCAGTGTTGTTGCTCAGTACTAAAGCAGCAGGTAAAAGTGTAGTGTTGGAGGTTTGGTTGGCCAGATCAGTGTTTCAGGGGCAATATAAGTTTTAAAAATCCTCAGGGCTGGGGCAGATACTTATGCACAGGCTCGTCTTTTTGCCCTCACTCTGATTTCATTAGAGAGCAGTGCTGCTGAAACTTCTGATTTTCAGTTGCATGTCCACTGAAAGTCTCTGCAGAATGGCAAAGGTGAACAGGAGAACAGAGAGAGTGAATAACTGTGAAGTGCAGAAGTATTGCGTGGTGTCAAATTATCAACGATTCATCAATTCATTAGCTGTTGTTAGGCTAGGCACATCCCTTCCCTTTGCTGGCTCTCAGCTGGGACTGGAGTCCCAGGCTAACTGGGTTGCCTTGCCTGTGGTTTACAAACCACCCAGCTCACCAGCAGCAAGCTCAGTGGAAGGCTCAGTAGATCCATCTCGGTGTCCTGTCCCCATGGTGCTCTGGATTGGAGCAGTGGGAAGGGTGCAGAGCCAGCAAGACGTGA